TGGCTGGCATGTGGTGCTGGGGGATCGAACCGCGGTCCCTGATGCTTTGCTAAGCTTGTTCCAAGTAGGTGCTTTAGACCACTGAGCCATCTCTCCAGCCAACTGTTAAGTTTCAATGGTTGCTCTTTTCTTTAATGTTTGAGACTGTCTGGCTTTCCTGAAAAACAACTTGGTGGTTATCCTTTTTAGAACACTTAAATTAGAACTTTGTGGTTACTGTTTTATTATGTTGGGACATTCCGTGAACTGCAGAATTCTGATTACTCTCTTCTGCAGAATGACTTGCTTTTTCATGTAGAATGCCTGGAATTTTTTTTTTTTTTGGAAGGGTCTGCAGGGTGTTCAGGGTCTCAGTACTAGATCGGACTCGTAGTGATTTGCCTGTTTACAGCCTCCCAAGAGCTGGGATTACAGGTGCACACCTGCATGCCCAGTCTCAGTTGCCCTCTCAGCAAGTCCCTGGGGTGGGGCCAGCACTGGCAGGCCCAGGGAACCCGGTTCCTGCCTCAGCTTGCAGGCACTTTAATCCACTGAGCTATTCAGCCAGCTCTTTTCTTTAATCCACTGAGCTATTCAGCCGGCCCTTTTTCTGGATTTTCAAAGTTCAGTAATACACATAAGATTCATTTTTCTTGAAATTCGGTGTATTCTTTGTTCTTATAAGGACATTTCTCTTGTTTATTTCCATGAATAAGTTTTCTGTCAAATTATTGGGTGCTTTGCTTTTTTTCTTTGTACTGAATTTTATTGTTTCCTGATATAACTTTTAATTCATATTTTGCATCTCCATTTTTTGTGATCATTTAGTCTTTCTTTTTTGTCAGTTAATTCTTTTACCAGTATCTCTTCTGTTCCTTCCTGTTCCAAATGAAGTTAAGCAGTTTAGTTGGGTAATGGCTAACTGAATTTATTGCTTCCAAATTTCTTTATCACTGTCTTTTCATACTCTGTTTTTTTCTTTCCTTCAAGTTTGTTTTTTTAATTAAAATTGTATCGCCTTACATTTTTTGTTATGAAGAAGACCTTTGGAGTCTTTAATGGGATTATCTTTGGTTTCTTGGATTATATTTCCTTCCAGAATGGGTTCTTTGCCACATGTACACCCTGTTCATTTTTCTCAGTACTTTTTCTGTCCCTTTATCTTTTTTTTATGGTAAATTTTATATTCTCGTCCATGGATTTTCATTCAGAACAAATAACACAATCAAAATATCTAAGAGCCAGTTGCTATAGACAGCAAAAGAGTTACTTAGTAAGTACTCTATACATAGTTCCACTACAGTTATTTGGTTTTTTTTTTTCATATTTGTATTTATTTATTTTATAGGTACAAACCTCTTTTTTTTAAAGTCAACAGAAAATGGAAATATACTTTTTAAAGTTTCTAATACTAGAAGATAGCATACAATGTCTTTTTAAGTAAATTGTAAGTCAAAGATACACTATAAATCTTAGAACAAAAATTAAGATTAAACAATATTCAGAAATTTAAATGTTTCAAAACAATTGAACTAAGAAAAAGTTTTCATGATAGCAAAGAAGTACTAAGAGTAAAACATAAGATAAATACTGGAATGGCAAATAAATGACCTGCATGTCTAACAGTTTGAGGATAGGATATCGCACAAAGTTCTAGTGTGTTGTGGACATGCATAATGACCGTAACAGTTACTGGTGGCTAGGCATCACTTGTGGTACTGAGCTACAGCTATTTCTTTGAAATCCACACTGTAAACTCAGGTGGAATCATGACTCATAGGGTGGAAGAGAAGTCCATTTGTAGAGTGTGCTGATGGAAATATTCTGCTGCTGAACACAAAAGAATAACTGAAAGACTACTACTGTATACCTCTTACTCTCCTCTGTTTGCCCTATTTGGCGAGTTCTTTTTATTCTCATTCATGGGGCTGTGATCAATTTGCTTCCTCTCTAGAACATCATTTAGTAGTCTGTGTAGGCTTGGCTTTGTCATCATGAAATTCTTTAGTTGTTCTTTGTCATGGAAATATTTCACTTCTCCATTATATTTGAAAGATAGTTCTGCAGGATAGATCAGTCGGGGTTGGATTTTGTTTTCTTGCAAGACTTGAAGTACTTTGCTCTTTGCTCTTCTTGACTTGATGGTTTGTGAAGAATAATCTGCCGTTATTCTGATGGGTTTTCCTTTAAATGTGATCTGTTTTTTTTTCTTTAGCGGCTTTTAGTATACTGTTCCTATGCTGAATTTCTGTAATCTTGATTATTATATGTCTGAGTGTGGTTTTCATTGGGTTGATATTATTTGGAGTTCTATATGCTTCTGTTACAGGAATGTCAGATTTTTGCCCCATATTTGGGAAGCTGTCCTTTTATCTTTGTGTTTGCTTTTCCTACATGTGCATACATTTACACTTGATGTGGGGAGATCAGAGAGCTTTTATTTATTTAGATGTGTTGATGAGGAATTCTTTATAATGCCCCACTCATCTTACCTGTTTATGTTTTTTTTTAAAGAGGAAATATTTTTTTAATTAATTAATTTATTTATTTGTGTGTGTGTGTGTGTGTGTGTGTGTGTGTGGCCAGCCCAGCCCACCAGGGGGTGGGGCTGGCTGGCATGTGGCGCTGGGGGATTGAACCATGGTCCCTGTGCTTTGCCGAGCCTGTTCTAAGTAGGTGCTTTAGACCACTGAGCCATCTCACCAGCCCCTGTTTATGTTTTTCTTGAGTCCCAATTTAAAAGTTGTGTGTTACTGGGGATTAGAGAGAGAGAAACAAAGGAAAAATGGATGACCTAAAAATCCTTATGAAGGGATCCTGCCCCTTAGCTCAGTTCTTTAAGTGGCTGCTTCAACAAAGCAGTCAGGCTCAGGTTGCTGTGGTTCCATCCCCACAGCTCAAGCCAGCCAAACCTCCCCTGAGGGCATTCTGAGCAAAAAAAAAAAAAGTCCTTATGAAGCACTGTGTCTATTAACTTTTGTCCTCTTAAGATACTCCATATCCTGCTCTTGGGAGTGTAATCACTGGATGATACATCAGTATAACCTTATGTAGAGACATCATTGGACCCCTGACGTTTTGTTTTCATTTTTCTCTCAGCCCTAGAAAGTGACTTGCTCTCTCCCAAATATGGAGATGGTTAGAAACGTATTCTTGAGATTTTTTTAATGTTGTTGATTTATTCTTATATTACTTATTCCCTCATTTCCATTTCTTGGCATTTCATAAAGTATTTCTGATAAATGCGTGGATTTTGTAAACTTCCTGCCATCCAATCGAAGATGGAAATAGAATTGGGAACGACCATAACTTACACAAAACTTTGTTTTTTGTCTGGATTGTCACTCTTCAAAATTTATGATGTGAGGTTGCATATTCTTTTTTATATTTTAAAATTATTTTTTTTGTGGGCTTTTGTGTTGTCTTTCTTTTTTTTTGAGTGTCTTGCTATGTAGTTCAGGTTTTGTGGTCCAGATTGAACTCAAACTCATGGTGATCCTCTTGCCTCAGCCTCATTTTATTTTGTTTGGAGATCTGTAATCTAGGTTGGCCGTGGTACAAGTGACATTTTGGTTTGGATAATTACTTTTTGTTATGTGTAGGGAAGCTGTCTTGGGGATATGTAGAATGTTTAGCAGTCTTCTTGGCTTCTACCCACTATGTAACTGTAGCAGTTCCCTAATGACAGACAAAAATATCTTCAGACATTGCTAAATATACCTCAGGGAAAAAAAGTTCATTCACTTTGTTTTTGCAGCAGAACACTCACGTCCAGATTGTAGATAATTATTTCTTGTGTAACTGGTAAATAACTAGCAAAGTAAACCATATATTTAGAGTAAACATTCTAATATACTCTTACAATTCATCTTAATAATAAGAAAATGTTAATGTGTGACTTATAAACTGTTTCCTTAGAAATCAATAAATTTTTTTAAAATATAGGATTTATGTACAATTTAAGTGTTCTACTAAATGAAAAATTTAATATTTTGTGACTTATTGTTTGGAGTAATGGTATAATACATTTCTCTCCTATTAATTAAAAATCATGTTTTTAGTGAAGAACATTTTTATTGGCAATTCAGTTGTTTCCTGTTTAGGAGACTGACATTCTTCAGTTCTAAGCTAAATAATTGTCATGGTAAAGTAATTTCCGTGAAAAGGACAGACATTGATTCAGCCCCTGTAACTCACAAATCCTATTTCAGTCAAATTGGAAAACTATTAAGTTTTTGGGAAAAAATCAATAGGTATCAGGAAACCATTAGATCTTGTGGCCCTTGCTATATCTTGCATGAGTAATCACTGTAAACAACTGACAGGTATTTCATTGTTGACACAGGGTGATGCTTGGGGGACCACATCTCATCAGGGTAGGTGGACAGCTTTAGACAGGGGAATGAGTTCAGTTATCCTTGTTTTTCCCCTATGCTCATTCTTTTAGACAGCACTGTCACTAACTGGGCCTATGATGCTTTGAAAAATCAAATACCTTCCTTGCTGTCAGTTTTCTTCTTGTGTTACGGCATACTAATCAGGGTGTGTGGTTTGTACTAAACCAGTTTCTGTCAAAAACAAGTTGTAATTTCTTAGAAATAATTTTTCCTCAGACCGAGGTTTTAGGGCAGTATCAAGTAAATAGTGAAAATTAGCAATGCCAGAGAATTTATAACTTTACTTCTTATTCTTTTTCTCCTAAAAAATTATGTATTTATTTACTTATTGTTTGAACAAGCAATTTTGGAATTATTTTGTTATTTATGAACCATATGGTTAGGAGGTGAAAAAATAAAAATAAGCTGTATACATACATAGCCATGATGTCTGATTATTTAATAATAGCTGTTGTGAATCATTTTGCCATCTGTTTATACTTGTTTATGTGTGATAAGAGGTTATTTTTTTCCTTTAGAAAATAGGCAGAGAGGATAGAGGTAACTAATAAATAGTAAAAGGTTCTATTACAGTGAGTCCCATAAGAAGACAACTGGAATCTCAGATTTGATTTGTGTGCTTATCTGCTGATTCCATCAAACAGATTAAATTAAATCAGGTTTTGCAGTTTAAAGAAATATTTTTATACGATATTGTAATATATTTTCAGGTGCTGTGGCTTCTATATTTTGGGTTGATGCTGAGCTAGGGAGTGATATTTATCTTGATGGTAAGTGAAAAAAAATTGCTTTTAGTTGAAATTTATGTGATTAAGCTCATTTTGTTTATAATTTTGCTTCCTTGTATTATTATTTTCAAACTTCTTTTATTATGAAGTAAATTTTTATGTAGACTTCAGAGCTTCAGACAGTGACCCAACTGGATCATCAAGTTTCATTCTTTATTTTTATTTTTTATTTTTTTCGGTACCAGGGTCAAACTCAGGACCTTGTGCTTGCCAGGCAAGCACTTATTCCACTGAACTGTCTCCCTGCCCCCATCAAGCTTTAATCTCAGCTCCTAGCTTAGCGCTTCTACTCAGGCTTTTCTTTAAAAATTTTGTGTAGATTTTCTATACCTTTGGTTGTTTGATTTATGCTCGTAGTATGTTAGAGCTCATATTTTAATTAGCCAGATGATGTAAGGATCATATTTCTGTTTTCTTTCACTTTATCTTGAACATTACAGTTAGTCACATAAGCACAAACCCCTAATTTCACTTACAAATCAAACTCAATATACTTTTCTTAGTTAAGAAACAAACATCCATCATAAAAATACATTAATTTTAACACATTTTCATATTGTTGATTCAAGTTGGTATTTCACAACTACTCGTAATGTCATGGTAATATTCATCTTTCTTAATGCAGTACAAGTTTACTTCTATAAATCAGTGTAAAATTTCAGTATTTGAACAGTTACCAAATTGTCCTAAAGATTCTTTAATAATTTAAATGTTAAGAAAAGTCTTGATTTTGATTATGTAAAAATAAATTGAAAATATCCTGTGTCACCTAATTCCTCATATTTCACTTTATATTTTGAATATCTATCACATTTTGAATTGTAGGCTTTTAAATGCTAAATCTCTCTCTCTCTTTTTGGCACTAGAAATTGAACTCATGACCTCACACTTGCAGGCAGGCGCTATGCCAGTTTGCTTTTATTAATCTTAAAAATTTATTTATGTTTTTATCTTTTCTAGTGTCTTATGCTAGGGACTTGGTACATATTTGAAATCCATTTAAATTTTCCTGGGATTGAATTAAATTGCAATATTGATAAAAAGGAAAAAAAATTTGTTTGAGTGAACAGTATCTGTGAACTAAAAGAGACTGTTTTTCTTTTTCCTTCTCAAGTATAGTTATACAGTATTAACAAACACCTTTTTGAAAAAGGATAATTAAAATATTTATTCTTTTGTAGGTATCATAACTGTTGTAGATTCAAAGTATGGATTAAAAGTAAGTTGAAACATTATAAATTGATAATTGCAAAGTTCTGGGAATGTTTATATGTTTCAAATGTGTAACAGAAATCTTTTTCAAAATAATGTCCTGAATAATACATAATGATTTGTTTTAAAATTGTTTTGTTTTTAAATTAAGTATTTATTTGTATTAGTATGATTTCATGGAGTGATAAAACTTGGCATTACTATAATACTTTTTGTATAGGGCCAGGGTAAAGTTTAGGTATGTGTAACTCCTCACTGGAATTCAACCCCAGTATTGTTAAGGTTTTCTCTGTGATAGAAGATGTTGAGCTTGTTAAAATATCTGGTCTTAGTTTTGTTATGAAGTATGGTCAAATACAGCAGACAACAGTTGTTTTCTTTAAATATAGCTTTAACTCTTTGAAGACATTAGGATTTGTACATAGGATTAGTGAAGAGAAACTTTTTAAGAATACCCTGCTGTGAATATTTTTAAATACTAAGGTCCTCAAATATATTTAACTGGCTTCAATTTATAAGATGCATTATATCTTTAAAAGAACATTGCCGCATAAAATAGAATAGTGTTTTTCCATTCACCAAGTGAAATGGCACCACAGGCATCAGAGAATAAAAATTTTCTTTCTCCTGGACCCTATGTCACCTCAATGTAGGTATATGGAAGGCCTGGAGTAATAATTTTTGGAAGTTTAAATTCAGTGTTTAGAAACTTATGTCTGTTCTGTATGCTGCAAGTTTATTTCAAATCTTAAATTATGCCACAGCTTCAAAAATATGTTGGCTTTATCAGGTGACCACTAATACCCATTTCTTAGCCCTTTACTTCTCGGAGTAAAGTGCACTAATTGGAGAAGTTTGGAAAATAATTCTTGTTTGAAATTTATGAATTTAAATTTATGAATAGACTTATACAATTGCATAAGCACTCTCAAATGTTAATTTTGCTCAGAAAACATTTAATGACTATTTTGAAATTATTTCTAGCAAATTGTTAATGGAGATAGGAAAATACCCCATACAATTCTTCATTTTGAGACTTGGTTATGGGCATACGTGAGTTCATGTCCTGTACAAATTTATTCTCCAACTTGGGATACTTATGATATAGATAGCAGATAGGACATTCATTTGTCTTTTTGACAGACTTATCACACCATACTCAAAGTAAAATTCTTTGTTATTTTATGATGTTAGGAATAATTTTATATGTATAGCTGGGTGTGGAAAGGAGTTAAATAGAATCTGTTATCAGCATGACACAGACCAAAAAAAACAAAGCAACGTTCTGAATAATGCAAACATAGTATACGTTTAACCTCCTGCCACCTTGATAAAACCTCTTAAATTATTAAATCAATATACCCACACAAAACTGACATACTGTCAGGATAATGGAAACTTTAAGATTTTCTAAGTTGAGTACCAGATAAATAACTTTGCCTTTATATAAAGAATTTGCCAACTTGTCCAATTCCTTTGGTTGCAAAGCTTGACCCCAATAGCTGCTTGTGATTCAGAGAATTCTGAGGCAGTACAAGTAATGACACTTGGATAATGGGCAGCAATTTAAGGGTGTCATGCTTCACAGAACCAGCCCATCACAAGTAAAGCTGAGAAATGGTACCCTGTGGCCAGCCAGCCAAATTGAAACTGAAGTGGTAATTGATATCATGGGCTATCACTCTAATGGGATTGTCACCCATTGATCTGAAATATTCATTTTTTAATCACGGGCAAAGAATTGGACAACTTAAAATGACAGCTCTTTATTTTCAGGACTTGACATCTAGCCTACTGACATTGTTCTTTTCAGTTCTACAAATGTGACAGCATTTAATGCAATAGAATCAATGAATGAAGTTACACAGGAAAGGTCAAGTGAGAGATTTCTTTTTGGTTCTTCTGTTATATTATACAAGTTGTTCAGACAGTTGAGTCAGAAAACATTTTGGTTGGAAAAGGCCAGAAAAATCAATACTGACATTGTGCAATATTTTAAAAAATTGAAATAATGTTACGTCTATAACCAATTCCTTTAAAAACAACAGTTGCTTCTTTTATTCTATTTTTATTTTTATTTTCAATGCCATTTAGTGAATGTGACACTAGATTTATTTCCACTTTGGTCAACAACAGTGTTCCTTCTTTGTGAATAACTGAAGATCATTTTCTTTACTGTTTTGGTCCAGCTTCTTTATCTCTAAAGAAAAGGACACTCAATAGCCCTTCTTAACATTTTGTCTATATTAGTATTATTCTAAAGGATTTCTTCTAATTTCTCCACTAGCTTTATTGAGATCTGACAAAGAAAATTTACATATTTAGGTATACAACTTGATATTTTGACGTACATATAATATGAAAAACGTGAGACAGGGTAACACATCTCTGAGGTGACATAGTTAGCATTTTTTGGTGGTGATCTAAACCTAGCAGATTTCAAGTATTCAGTGCAATAGTTTTAGCTATTGTCACTATGCTGTAATTAGTTTTCTGTAATTTATCCTGCATAATTGAAACTTTGTACCCCTTTGAACAGTGTCTCATATTCCTCCTGTTCCATTTTGTTTCTTTTGGGCTGCATTAGGAGTTTGGTCTTTTACATTTTGTATGTGTTGGGGTTAATTAGTGCCCAAATTAGTCATGTCTTTTTTGATATGCAGACAGAAACTACAGTCTGTCAGTAAAGAGGTAGAATCCTTTGGCGATACATAAAACATTTTGGAAAAATCATTGTGGAATTTCTTTCATATGCCTATATAGTAGAATAGAGTATCAATTTACATTTGTTTTTGTTTTATAAATGAAATAGCACAGAGAAATTTTTGTCTTTTTGCAAAGTTTGACTTGTAGAGGAAGGAAGTTTTTTAGGAGAAGTGTTGAGTGGACATTCTGAGGAAAAAAATGTTAAGTTTTTTTTTGTTTGTGTAATTTTCATATGTGTATAAAATTGAGAATTTATCTCTTCTGCTATAATTATATGTAACTATTCTGTGTTCAATAGAGTTGTGCATATTGGGAGGCTTTTAGAAGGTTTTAAGTTATTTTTATATTTAATCCTTTCTGGCTGGAGAGAGTACATTTTAGTCTTCCCTTCCCAGTTATCTTTAAGTGGAACTTCCTAAACTTTTGAAGAAGTAAATGGATTCAAAATATTGTGAGTAACTTTGTAAAAGTATCATTTTATCAGTTTCAGATGGAAATTTAAATCCTCTTAATTTTTGTATACCTTTTTTATGTCTCATCAACTCTTAGCTAAATAACCCAAATTTATATGTACAAGAAGTTCCAAAAGGTTAGTAATGCAGTATCTTGAAATGTCTTTTTGAAAGAATTTTTAGTATTACAGGATCATCCAGATGCAAATGCCTTGCTAATAGTATATCATTGTTAAGTAGATTTACTGCTCAGTGGAGAAGGATTTGTTATTACATGTTAGATGGCATTTTTCAAATAATATCTATGTATCCATGTCAACAAATGGGAGAGCATTTGTAACAGTCCATTCAAGGACTAGTTCTTGGCCCTGTGTGCCAGACAGTATTCTTGCTTCTGATAGTGGCCTCATTCTCCTGAGACAGAGCATATGATAATAGGACTTGTTCTTTTTTACTCCTAAAGTGAAAAGGAGTACATCATTGCCATGGTATTAGTTTAGTTTTGTTTCCCTCAAATATTATTTGATTTTTTTTTTTTTTTTTTTTTTGCTTCATAGTCCTAATCAAAATTGTTAAATAGAAGCACTACGAACTTGCTTAGATTTCAAACTACCCAAGTACCTTCATGGTCACCTTGCCGTGAGTTCTGAAACTGGCTTGGTAGAACCATCTTGAAATAATTTTTAGGTAATCTTTATAGATCCAGTTTCTTAGGCAGTTATTACACTCAGGTAGCACCATGTACAAGAGTGATTTTGTGTGATATGAAAACACAATTACAAAGATATTAAAATTATGTTCATTTTACTTCTATTGGGTATGTTGCCAATTAAAAATATATCTTTGTTGGTGTGAGTGTAGACTAGTGCAAGCAGTATGGAAATAAATCAGTGTGGAGAGTCCTCAAAAAGATACAATTAGAGGTCCCATTCTGGGTATACTCCTGGAAGAATTAAAAACATTGTACCACAGTGAAATAGGTACATCCATGTTTATAGCAGTACAGTTTGAATAGCCAAATCTTGGAAATAACACAAATGCCTATCAACTGAGGAATGGTTAAAAAGATGTCATTTTTTTAAAATGGAGTACTATTCAGCCATAAAGAAGGATAAATTTGAGACTTTTCTAAGTAAATAGATGTAACTTGAGACCGTTCTCGCAAGTGAAATAAATCTGACTTACATGTTTACGCACTATACTTTCTTGCTGGTGTGAAAAACTGAAGGAGTGAATAAGGTCCAAAATTTACATTAGGTATTGTGAAATGAGAAGAAATTGTTCAAAAGGAAAAAACTAGGATGTGGAAAAGGGGAAAAGGAGAAAGGGAAAGGAAAAAAAATACAAGATAGTTATACTACTAGTTTCTCTTAGTTCACTGAGAAGAAAGGTTTGTGGTAATACTATTTGGAGAATTTTTTTATGCTCATATCTTGTACTCTGAGTAACTATTTACTTATTTATTTATTTTTGTCTTTGTGAGATGGGGTCTCTATGCAGTTCAGGCTGGCCTTGAGCTCACTTTGTAACACAGGCTGGTCTTGAACTTGCCAAAATCCTTCTGTCTCAGCCTGAGTGCTGGGAACACAGGCATGCACCACCATGCCCAGCTTCAGTAACTACTTTGAAGATAGCAACACATGATGTATTTACTATTGTTATTCTCCTATTATTTTGTTTTGAAGTTTTGGTGTTTTTTTTTCCCTTATAAAATGAAAAAATCCAAACCTTTGACAGTATAATAAGAATATGGTATCTTGTTCTAAGGTTATTTCTTCCTCTTTTTTTTTTTTTTTTTTTGCGGAACCAGGGATTGAACTCAGGCCCTTGTGCTTGCCAGGGAAGCACTTAATCCACTGAGCCATCTCCCTAGCCCATATATTTCTTCTTTCATAAAATAATAGTCACTTCCCATGATTGTTATGAAGTCTAAATGAGATGATATATGCATAATTTGTAAATTTCAAATATAACTAATACTACCTTAATGTAGTTGCCACTAACTCACAAGCCAGCTTTTATTGTGATGAGGAACTTACACTGACAGTTGAGGTAAAAACATGATTTTCCAGAGGAGAACCTTAAGGCTGTGATGACTTTAGGATATAACTTAAGATTGTGAGGGATGGGGAGAGAAAATCCTGCTCGGAGAGATGACTGCTATCATGTGCTTCTAAGCCAGTATCAAAATGTTTTTGAAGGAGCTAGCCTGACTTTGGAGCAGGGGTGGTGAACACATGACACACGTGCTGTAGTGGGCATGCAGAGCCCTCTCTGTCAGCATGTGAACCTGTGTATCAGTTGTTTTTTCTAAATTAAAGCCTCTGTTTCAGGTTTAACCTAGAAGCACAATACTGCGCCCAGCGCACCTATCCATTACTTGTCTACTGTAAATTTGTACTTTAGCATAATAGCAGCCAGCTGTACATCTCAGTACGCTGAGGGATGCAGGAAGCAATATGTGTTTTTACCCACTTGGTATGACAAATGGCAAGGTGTGTGCACATGTGCAAAAGTGGCAAGACAGAATTTTTACCCACTTATGTTCCATCTAACTGGCTTTGTGTTTACGTCTGAGCATCACAGAGAGTCCAGTAGACCCAAACTGCTCTAGTATTTGTTAAAAATAGCAGTTTGAATTTTCTGGTAGAAGTAACCCATTTCAGTACAATGGTACATGAAAAACCAGATTTGTAAGTTTTAGAGGAGATCAAAAGTGAATAGTCAGATTACTCGTGTAGATGATGAAGATGACCCACTGTGATAAAATACATGCTTTCATCACAGAAGAGGGGTGTGAGTGGATCATGGGATGATGGCGACTGCTTTGACATTGTCTCTCTGAGCCATGTTCCTGTGACCATGAAATGGAGCAAGAGTCAGCTGATACACAAGGAATGCAGACCTCTTTGACTCAAATGATGAAGAAAACAGCAGTGTGCATTTGACTAGTGGAAACGTTGCAAAATGGCCACACAACCAAATGGAATGATCCAGTGTTAGAAGTAGGTCTAAAGGCATAGGGAGGTTCTTGGCATGATGAGAGGTACCAGACAGAATGCCGGCACTGCCATTCCATGTTGGAAATTATAACATGATACACTACAAGATGCTGTGAAATACACAGACTGAAAGGCAAGTAAAACATTCTGTGTGCACCAATATCCATATTCAAAATGTATCTCAGCACCTCACTAGCTGAACTGAAAGCATTTGTGGGTCTGCTGTACTTAGCAGGATTTCTTGTGGTGATCACAGGAAATATGAAAGACTTATTGAAAAGTGATGGGTCAATATATGTTATGGAATAAAAATTCATGTACCTGTTTGGTTTTTTGTTTGTTTGTTTTTTGTGGCCGGCTCAGCCCACCCTGGGAGTGGGACTGGCTTGACATGTGGTGCTGGGGATTGAACCGTGGTCCCTAGGCTTGCCTAAGCTTGCCTAAGCAGGTGCTTTAGGCCGCTGAGCTATCCTGCTGGCTGTTTATTTATGCCCTTGTAAATGTGAAGGCTTATCGTGCTTTCAACTGAGCTATGTATCCTGGAACTCAGCCATCAGGTCCTTATTTGTATGGTGGTAAACCACTCCCATCTCCCAAACTAATCAGAATGTGACATTCCATAATTGCTATACTGCTTTCCAATTGATGTTGCATTTGCTAGCAGAGCGCACGTTGACCAGTGCAGAAATTGCAAGTGAAATGTTTAATATAAATTTGTTTAATACAGTTTTTGAATTTCAGAAAGAGAACATTGACTTTGTGTGTGGCAAAACAAAACTAGTACTGCTGATGTCAACCTTTCACCATGGTGGAATTATTGATAGGGACAAAATGGAAGCGTGGGAAGGAAATTTTCCATATCAGAACCATAGAGCACATGTTGATGCGTTATGCAGCAACTGTGATGTCAGTTGTAACACAAGGCATTGGCTTATGACTGTGTCTTACTTGATGCTAAACATGTGTTATAAACAGTTTGATAGCTTACAAAGAAATAATAAGTGCAAATTATTGTGAAGAAATTTTCTTAGAGGGTTTAGAATGGAGAACATAAAAGATCATTTTCAGCAGAGGAATACCAAAATGTTTCTGCCCAGAGAACTAGGCAGAAAATTGTGGAGCACACTGGTGAGCTGACAGGTAAACAGAAAGGCGCAGCCTCACAGAGACCTACAATGACAACAGGAAAACGAAGATGTTAGCTATGTCCTACAAGAAAGTACAGGACAGCCAATGAGATAGCTCAGTGGACTAAAGCGCCTGCTGAGGCAAGATTAGGCAAGGGCAGGGACAGTGGTTTGATCCTCGGCACCACATGCCGCACCAGCCCTGCCCCTAGTGCGGGCTAAGTGGGCCAGAGTCTGGGCATAGTGGTGCATGCCTGAACTCCCAGCACTACAGAGGCTAAAAACAGGATCACCACAAGTCTGAGCTGTGCAGTGAGACCCTGCAACAGCCAAGTACATTTTAAAAAAAGATAGTACAGGAAAACAAAATATGTACTATCAGTGTGATACTTGGGTATGGAACATGCACTTGTTACGTGTGAAAACCACATTGGGTGTGACTGACAGTTGAAGCAAAGCTTGTTTCTGTGGTAGACATTTGTGTTTATATTGTAGTTGACATAGGTTTTTAAAAATTTTTATTTATTTATTTATTTTTTGGTGGTACCAGGGATCAAATTCAGGACCTTGAGCTTGCCATGCAAGCACTTATTCCACTGTGCTATCTCCCCAGCCCCCAGGTTTTTATTTTTAATGTTATCTAAGCACTCATATTTGATATTTTATTTTATTGAAATGTTACTTCCCTACTAAGGGCATATTGTACAGTATAGTGGGAGGTTCCTGACAAAGCAGAGATAAGAGGTGACAAGACTCACATAGGAGAAGAAAGCGAAGCACATGCTGTCAGGGTAAGCAAGACATGTGCACAGAATATGCAGTTGTGTGCAGACAGTTGAAGCAAAGCTTATTTTTGTTGTAGTTTTATTGGTATTTTCATGTAGTTCATATAGGAATTTATTTGTGGTGAATTTATTTCTTTTAGGTTTTGTAAGCAAGTACATAGCTGGTGTCTTAAATGCACAATACATACTAAAAATTTAATACTTTATTTTATTGATATTTTATGTTCCTGTTTACTACATGCTGTATAATATAATAAGAACCTCTTAACAAAACAGTAAGACCACTGAGGTATCAAGTATGTCCCACAAAAAGGCCAGGAAAGAAAAGCACATTGGCTGTCAGTGTAAGCAGTATGTGTATGTGGGTCATGCTGATGTCGTGTGTGCAGACTGCTTTAGGTGTAATAATTGAAGTACAGATTTCTTCTTGTAAAGTGCTGTTGGTATTTTCATTGTAATTCATATAAGAATTTGTGTTCTTTGTAAAATTTTGTATACCAAAAAAGTCAATATTCAAAATTTTGATGCTTTTTTAATAAAAGTAAATATTAAAGAATCGATACTTTATTTTTGTAATTTTAAGTATTCATTGTTTAATACAACTCACAAGATTAAAATTAATATTTCATTGACAGAAATATTCTAAAGAATAAATGTGGGGCTGGCAGGCCCATGTTTCTGTGCCTTTATGACAAAATTTCTGTTATGCTGGTATAGTTAATGTTGGCACTTTATGATAGATAAGCGGGTTTTGGGTTACATTTTGTATACTCAGACTCTTAGAGGCTTTTCATCACTGCTTAGAGAGAGCAGTAATCTGGTTACTCTGAGATGTCAGATCATCATGAATGTGTATCTCCAAATAGTAACTAAGGTACTTTTAGGTCAGAATTAGAGCTGTAAGCACAGCTTCCTAATTCTTTTATTTTAAGGGACATTTGAAGGGCCCAGTATTGAGTTAATACCATGCGTGATTTTGGGGTTGAGTAGACGTTGGGATAGGAATGGAAGGGAAATACGTTTGAATTTTAAGAAAGTGTAATTACAGTACTTAGTTCCCTTTTTTATTAGTAAAAATGAATGTATAGACCAACAATAGTTTTTTAGAAAGGAAAATGCCTATCATCTGAACAATAATTTTCTGTATGTTTTTAAACCTGGAGGATTTATGAAGAAGGAAAGGGCAGGAGTGCTGAATTCTAACTTCTACAGATTCATTGTCTGAAAAACATATGCAGGTGGGGGAGAAAAATACTTTCAAATAAAAATGTTAGTTTTGATAAGCCAGACACAGAAAGACAAGTACAGTAGTCATGATTTCACTCATTTGCAATCCAAAAAGTTGAGCATATAGACATAAAAAGCAGAATCTTGGTTACAAGAGGGCGAAGAGAAGAAAAGGGAGAGTTAAGTTCATGGATACCAAGTCACAGCTAGATAGGAATAAGTGAGTTCTTGTGTTCCGTTACAGAAAGATGGTTGTATTCAGTATTATGTGGTATATTGCAAAAGAGACCATTTTGAGTGTTTTCAGCATCAAGAAATGATAAATGTTTTTGATGATGGATGGCCTGTCCTGAGTTATTACACAATGTATAAATGTACTGAAACATCACACTATGCCCCACTGAGATTATATTTATTAGCTGTCAATTAACAAGTAGAAAAATTTCAAGAAAATGGAGAAGTTCTGAACGT